AAAGCGAAACTACTTTGTTTGGTCTTCCAAAAGAGGACACAACTTGAAATCAGTGGTTAAGTTGTATTTACAACACTGTTCCAGAACAGTTCAACCCAAATATTCAGATGTGTGCAGTGCATTTTATGGAGGACTGTTTCCTGATTCTGGTAGAGTAGACTACAATGCCGGCTGTTCTGACTCACAGACTGTAAGTACGTTTTTTATATTTAAAGAATTTGCCACTGATGATTCAAACGCGAGTTTTGGGCAGTGTAGAGTAGGGCTTGTTGTTTGTCATTTCTCCGATCACAAATGCAGACATGGTTTTATGTTTACGCGGCGCGATGCAACGCGTAAAAAGACAGTATAAGTCATTATAATCCGTAATTATGTCCCCAATGGATGCAACAAATGCCTCTTTTATAATGGGTTTTAATGTTTTTGTCTCATAGCTCCGGCCAGACAGGGCATCACAGTATGGTAAGGGGCGTAACATTTCCGTCTCACGCTTGAGGTATTCGGCCAATCACAACGCACTGGATAGCTGGCCAATCAGAGCACACCTCACTTTTCAGACTGATGAGCTTTGCGTTTCAGAAAGGCGGGGCATAGAGGAGAAACACAAATACAGTATGTGGAAAATAATGTGTTTTGAACCTTAAACCGCATAAACACATTTCATTACACCAAATACACCAAATAATGTTCTTTTTAGCAACATCATATGACCCCTTTAAATAAAAACAGAGAATATGAGCTCTTATCATTCGTTGTCATTTATTTTTTTAACACCATATATTATATTTTCTCACACACATACATCTGCTTATCTCTCAGCTTGAGAAAACGTCTGTTTTCCGTCTTTTAGTTTTAAAACAGACCGATTCGCGGCACTTTGCAAGCGTTATTACATTGTAAACTGTACATAATGGACATACAGAATCATACCTGAAACAGAAAACTAATAAATATATTCCCTCCTCACTTCGGAAACTGTAGGTTTTCGCACAGACGCGCACACACATCAACACATCGCAGCATGAAAAGCGTTTATTAGGGGGAAGGGCGGGGTCTCAACATTAAAGATGAAAGATGCAACATAACGCCAGCAGGGGACACTCATACTTCATTAAATAAATAACAAACACTGCCGAAATACATAACAAATGAAACAGTTGTGATGCTATATTAAAGAATAAACAACAATCTTTTATTGTTTTGTTTTGTTCTGTTTTTTATTGCTTTTGCTTTTATTTGGTTAATTTTTGGTCAGATAGAAAGTAACAATAATGTAAATATAGAATCAGACAGAGCTTTATTGCCAAGTGTGCTTACACACACAAGGAATTTGTCTTGGTGACAGAAGCTTCCAGTACACAGACAGGTTGACAAGTGACAAGACACAGATAACAAAATAAAAATAAGTGAGTAAAAATAAATAAAAACAATACACAATAGACAAAAAGACAGTATATTGCACATATAGTATAATCTAGATACATACACATATCTACATATACAACCATACATTAATTCAAACGAAAACACCAGGCAAGCAGTTATACTTTCAAATAAATAAACAAATAAATAATAAAATGAAACAGGGAGAAGGGAAAAAAGACAGAGAAATAAATGTAAAAAATTATATTATTAAAAAAAAAATTTTTTTTAAATAAAATTAAGATGCAGTGGTCTTCTTAAAATATTCCATAAAAGTGCTCCAGACTTTCAGAAAACGTTTTGGCTTTTGTTTTATTGCAAACCAAATCTTTTCCTCCTTGAGAGCTTATAAAAAGTCAAAAAACCCATTGGCGATAAGAAGGGGGAGCTGCTGACTTCCAATTCTTAAGAATAAGTCGCCTGCCAGTAGAGTTGCAATGGCTACACTATATCAGTCTGTAATGTGTTTAATTTAGCAGATTCTGGCAAAATACCAAACAATGCTGTTAAGGGGTTGGGGTCTATTGGTAAAGAAAAAATAACATGAAAGCACCTAAAGACTTTCCCCCAAAACTCGTAGCTGATTCAGTTGTGCAGCGAAGGCAGGTTGGGTCGAGATCAGGGAATATTTTGTTTAATTTATCTCAAATTTATTATTTATTAAATTTATTAAAAGATCAATGGACTCTGTGCACTGCCTTGAATTGAATGAGAGTGTGCCTTTATAGATGATGAGTGTATTCGGGCAAGAATTAGATCCCAGATGATTTCCTCAAGCATCAAATTCAATTCCTCCTCTCAGTGCACCTTCAAAGTGTTGGGAAAGTTAGAAAACTGCTTATACGAATAAAGTTCCGTATCTGAAAATATCTCAATAAATGGGAGCTGGGTAAGTCAATTTTTTCTCGAAGTTGTGTAAAGGATGCAAAATTGTTATCCATATACTGTATAGTTGACCAACTGTAGCTAAGCTATGTTCACTCCAGATGTTAAAAGCCCCATCCATCAAAGAATAAACTACAATCTTTAGTAAATAAAATTAAAGGATTAAATGTTAGCAGCTTGTAAAGTCATTTGTGCTATTTGAGTAAGTGGTAGCTAGAAGCTGCATCAGCCTGTTAACCCTAAAATAGGTGGACTTTTGATCAGATATTACTGGAACTGTCTACCTGTGGTTAGGTATACAAACACACAAGTGTGTGCATACAAATAGGCTACACAATGTAAATTATAATAAAAAATTATTTTCATTGACAAAATAAGTGTTGGATATGAACAAAATCCCTTTTACCTATATCTGACCCACATGCACTCTCGTAAGTAAACAATGCATGTTTAGCTGGAAACTCAAACGGTGCAGAACGAGTTCTGCTAGATACACTTGCTGAGTGTGAGAATTTTGCTCAAACAGGGATTTTAGAAATAGTGCTTTCTAAATTTCTGCAGCAAGTAGGCCTAATGTGGGTGTTATTGTGAGTAAACCACTTCAGACCTGTAGGCAGCAAGTTCAAAAAATTATTTTAAATAATAAATGAAGTTTGATGAAAGCTTGGTGTAGAAAACATGCTAAAAGCAATTGTAAGTAAATGCAAATGCCATTGAAAATAATTAAAAATACCACTTTATTCCTGGTGCAAGGTCACTAAGGTCATGGCTTTGATTCCCAGGAAACATATAATTATAAAATATTCATGCATTAATGTAAAGGTTTTGTAAAGAAAATCTCATCCTATTTCATATATATGGAAAACATTTTGCACAAATTCCTAGTGAACTAACTATCCACTATCACATTCTGACTTGAAGTGTACACGTGTTGTTCAGTAAGGTATAATATTAAACATGCAATGTGGAGACAGCTGTCAAGGTTACAATTCAGCTACTCCATACATTTCCACTCTTTTGTTTGCATTGCTGAGCCGACAATATTACAGATGTGTGGTTTGTAAAAGAAAAAAGGTCATAGTAATAAACAAATGAATATGCTAGATAGATGCAGCATCTGTCCATTCTGTAATCAATTTGCATTGAAGTAGAAAATTAAATTAATGCAAAGACACTTGAAGCGCTGGGGCTCCAGGTGTGAAACAATTGCAATAATGCACAGGAATTACTATGAGCTTTCATTGTGAAATCAAGTAATTTTGTCCTTTTCATACCAAAGGCGCTTCACTGCATAAGAAGTAGCTAAATCAAAGAATCGTGATGAGATTTTTCACTTGAAGTGGTTTTGGCTAAAAATAAAAGGCTAAAATGGTATTTGGCTGAGATAAATGTTAATTTGAAACAGAACGCAAACATCTTGTTCTTGCTAATACATTAACAATATATAGAATACAGAGAACTATTTTTTTTTAATGAATATCAGATTAGCTGCAGTTTAATTCTGTGACCATACATTTTCAAAACATAAATGACAATTTAGACAGAACCCATCTGCTTCTCCTCCTTGCAAATAATTTTGTGCAATTAAGTTCACCTCCAAAGCCCCTCTCACACACCATTCATACTGACTTTCCAATGATCTCAGTCAGCAGAAGACTGGTCATGCCAGAGAATAAGCTAGATCACTGGTTGAATCTATCAGATACAAAATTTATGTCAAATATTTATTATAATAAATACTATCCAGCACTGACTTCATCTATTGAATGGTCAAAAAAACGATAAATCTTTTCAGTATTGACAATATATTTTGCATAGTGCACATGTATTAAATGCAGCAGCAATAAGTCCTGTAGCTAAGGGAAATGATCTCAAACTATTTCTTTACAACTTCAAATGATGGAGCACTATAAAACACATCACACGAAAGCTTGTGTGGCCACAGTGATGTAGTAGCCTACATAAAACGATTATATTCGAGTAGATTATAAAGCGACGGACCTTCAGGAAAATGATGTTTTGTTTTTTACACATTTTTATACAAACAAACATAGGAGCAGATGTAAACCCTTTTACCTTTGACATCTTCTTTCCTTCTATTTCTTTAAAATATACACATTCTGGTTTTCTTACATTTAATACAGTAGGCCTATATTATGTAGGATATAATATATATATATATAGTATTTAATATAATAGGCTATATATTTTAATCTATATGAAGTATTGTGTAATGGTCTGAGGACAAGTGGATCTTTTTGACAAGTGGTCATTTTGATAAAATAACGAGAAAATCAAAGTAAATATTTACCATCTAGGTCTAGCTCCCATTCCTTTCAAATTGGAAATGTTGCTTTTTTTACATAAAGAAAATAAAGTTGCGGGATATGTTCGTCGCATGTCTGAAGAAGAATCAATAAGCGATTTTTGTTAGATAATTGCTAAATAAAATAACAAATTACAATTCCGTAATTTTATACAACACACATACTGCATAGCCAATAGGGATGCTGCTGTCAGTAAAATAAATAAATAAAACAGCAAAATATTAAACAACAACAAAAAATATAGGATAAACCCGCTAAGTTTCAATCAACTCTAACGTGAGGCAGCATCGGTGTTTATGGCGCTCGCGGTGTGCGCCACTGTTTGGATCGCCATGCGGATGTGACATTATAGAGAGGAGCGCGACCGCCATTTTGAGTTTTACCAACTGAACATCACAAACCACGGGAGCGGGTGAGAGAGGCTCTGGCCGTGACCGGGCAAAATTACCTTTTCTCCTTTGAATAGCCTTTTGGGATGCAGCTTCAGGGTGAAATTGGGCGTTAGATGTTCAGGTTTGTTTCACTTGTGATAACGGCTTGGCGAAACGTGGGCATCTTTGTAAGTTTAAACTTCTAAATTAGTGCGATTTCACATTAGAGTCTGGTTTGAATGGATAGGTTTTTTCCTCGCTCCCCCCCAGAAGAGGGACAATCGGAGGAACACACGGACTGGAAATATTGCAGGGAAAGTTGTATTTAAAATAATCTCTCGGAGTCGCACCGATTCTTATTTTTTCACTTTTGCTAGCTTCAGCTGGGCTATCTGTGTTTTCCCCGGCTGCGGGTTGTTGTGAGTTGCATTTGCCCCGCACTTCTACGTGGGAAAGCCGGGGTTTCATTCATCGGGCCTTCGTTAAGCAGAAGCCTGAGGCCGCCAACTATCCTTAACGTTAGCATCCCTTCACCCAGGCGCCGAGATTGGGCGAATAGCGAGCAAATACGTCCGCGTTTCTCTGCCTGCTCCCCCACCGGCCTCCCTTCCTCCATCCCCGGCGCTGACAGCAGACAAGGCCGAGGTCGTCTTAGCGCAGGCCCAGCCGCAAAGGCTCGACCTGTTTACCCCACCTCCGCGTCCTCCGACTCCCCACCAGCCTCTGCCCGCGGAACCGCCACCAGACCAGCCCGAGGGAGACAAAGAGCCCAGGCATCATCCCATCCTGACAGCCGCCAACATGAACCACCATCACACCCAGCAGCAGCAGCAGAAATCCGGCGAGCAGCAGCTCAGCGAGCCCGAGGACATGGAGATGGAGGGTACGTCAAGGCCTCGTGCGAAAATCAAACGCTCACAGCCTTTAATTTAACTCTACAGCCAATATTAACACACTAAGCCAGATATGTAACTACTTAACTGTTCAACAGCAAGCCACTATGTCGCATATTTTGACCCCAATAGCTTGTTAGCCAGCAGCTAACCGTTAACGTACCTCGCAGCATGAGGAGTTTAACCAGTCAGCAAAAAGTCCATCATATTTTATTTACCTCATCATCTGAGTCGCATTACACTGCCACGTTGTTATTAAAAACCATAGTGCGGTTGTTTTACTTGAATGATGCTGTTTATGTGGCAGTTATTTGAACTGGAATTTCTTTTGCTAGCGTTTGGTTAACATTAGTTAAAAATGCTGTCTGCATTAACGTGGCTCAGCCCAATATTTAAGCTCTTCCATCTACCAAACTGTCAGGTGTTTCATCTGATAGTGTAAGGAGCCCATCGGTTAAGTTACACCTGTAGATCCCGTGGGCAACTTTTGAAAAGCATCAAGGGGTAAATGCTCACAGATAGGTAGTTATTTGGCCAAACGAACCCGTATTGGCGTGCAGAATGGATACATGTAAGTCAATATATTACATAGTTTGTGCTGTAAGTTGTGATTGAAACGACAGAGAAACGTTTGCTGTTGAAATGATCCTGCAAGAGCATTAAACCGGCCGATCGTCCACTAACTAGTTCACGATGTAATCGGACAGTTTCGTGTCCTTTCAGAACACCTGACATTTCTGAAACAAGTTGCTGCTTCATTTGAATGGCTTTCTTCCACAATCGCCAAATCCTCGTGTCCCACCACCGGTTTTTTGTTTGTTTGTTTGTTTGTTTTTTAACTGTTGAGTGCTGGCGGAGTCAAATAGACAGCATCAGAGGATGATTGCTGGACAACAGCACCATTTTGAGCTATGATTTGCTCCTGAGCTACATAACGTTACACGATGACAGGCTTTCTGTGCGATGCCTGATCGGTTAAGTTGCATTTAGCTGTTTCAATGTCTTATTAATGTGTTCCTGTTGTTATTGGCTTTGGATGCATTCCGCATAGGATCGGCTCGATTAGGGGGAGTGGATGGCAGTTTTATTCCAAGATGGTGGACTGTATTTTGCACCGATCGGTTTCTGCGAGGCCTGCTTGCGTCGGTGTTTGTTTATATCTGGGTGACGGCGCGGCCCGCGGCGCATGATGGCTCACCAAAGGATCCGCGATCCAAGTAATTTATTTGCTCATTGGATAGTGTCGGATGACACGGTTTGCCGAGAATAAGAGTTCGGTTTGCGGAGGGAAACGTTAGCAGCGCGGCTATATGCGTGTGGAGGGGGATGGGGTAAAACGAGCGGATCAACTCAGAAACGAGTCATTAACGTAGCGTCTTTTTCTCAGTGACTGCCTTATATTAATAATATGGGGTGAGTACCCATGCTGTCAGTTGAAAATACAGATTTGATGTGTTTTAGGCAGACTGTGCGTCAAGACTAGCGCTTGGGGATCCGCCGACGGCGCGCGGGGATTTTCTGCTTCTTCATTGTATAACGAGTCATGCTGTGGTGCCGCTCGCCATTTTTAATGATTATGGCTCGCTTGGCTGTTTTTTTGGATCGTGCACACCCGCGATCGCGGTGGGAGCACTTAAAAGGCCGTGGAACATGGCTGTGATTTCTTATTCGTTGTAATTAGGACGTTAGTTTTTGCGCTACGTTTCATCAAAGTTCTGCAGTGCACGTGTGGGGGCGTTTCTGATGCTGCTGCTGTCCGGAGACTCGCACTCAGACCTTTCTATACATGCACATAATCACATCACAGGCCTAGGAATGCGCAAAGGAAACTCTAAATGGTGCTATGAAGCCTGCAGGGTGGCCTTTCACTGAACAGCAAAATGTCGGGTTCACATTGCATCTTTTTCTTTTTTCTAGCCAAGAACCACCCACTTAGACAGGAAGAGAACCAGTTTGTTTTGTTTTTACAAGCTTTTTATGCTGTCTTCACTAGCTATTTGAAATGTCCTACTTTCTGCTTCTAAAGTGGCCATGTTCAAGTGCTTTGTTGCCTGAAAGAATAAGAATTATGCAGGACTTAACATATTAAATCTTATAGAAATGCAAAATGTATTGAAGATGTTTAGTTAATATCCAATAGATTTTTAATAAAATGTCGCGTCCTATTCTTTGTTAGCCATTTAAACATTACTTTTGCTATCTAGATTCTGGAGATTAGAGATTCTGGAATTTCAGGCAAGTAAATGTGGTCTTTGCTGTGTGAAATGCATACAATATGCATCAAATGTTTATTTATGTATAGAAACATACATGATTGTAATGGCTAGAGAAAGCCATGTAGATATTGTGGGAAAAATGAATAAAATTGTCACTACAGCAGTAGTTTTCTCCTCTGCAATGTTTAAAGTTCATGGCCCGTCCAATTTGGAGACTCGGGTATCAGAATTATCTCAGAGTGTCCCAATCGTAAATAGGACTTAAGAGACAGAAATTTGTCCAATTTCTAATTATGATACAATACTACCTTTTGTACACGCAACTTGGATATTTTTATTGTAAATGTTAAAATAGCAATGTCATTCATTTCAACACTTACAGACACTGCATCCACCGTATTTTCTCATGACTTGCTCCCAATTATGACGTTGTGGTATATGCTCAATTAATAAATGATCTTTCCAATGTGACTTGAATGCATCTTTTTTACGTAGTATTTATAGACTATCATGGACTGTTGTGAACATAATTTCAGATGCCTTCAGTAGTGCTTCAGAATCTTGAGTTACAGATGCAAATTTTGCTTTGTCACTGTTCGTTTTCAGTGGTTTGTAATTGGGGTCTGTTATTTTTCATTATATTTTTTTAATAAAACAAATATATATGAGGAAGGGTACATGAAATAAGTAATTGTTATATGTAGAGCTACACATGCTAAATTCTGAATGATCATGATTAGTTTTTTGCTGAAAGATGCTCCTGAATTAATTTATTTACCTGTTGCACAGTGGATCTATTGCAGCATAGTCAGAGTGAGCTTGCAAGAAATCTTATGGGATGAAACCTTATGCGTTAGCATTACAATTGACAAGGGACTTTCCTGTTTTATTTTTTCAGCTGGGGACCCAGATGATCCTCCAAGAATTCCCCAGAATCCAGTCATCAATGGGAACGTGGCTATGGCGGACGGACACAACAACACAGAGGAGGACATGGAGGATGGTAAGAAACATGTTGAAGCTCAGCACCATGCGTGTTAATATTTTTTAAATACATGTATTTTTATAGTTTTTGAAGTTATGAATGAAAGTACATCTACAGATCTAACTATTTTTTATACGACACTTCATAACAGACACAAGCTGGCGCTCGGAAGCCACTTTCCGCTTTGTGGTGGAGCGCTTTAGCAGGCTGAGTGAGTCTGTTCTCAGCCCACCCTGTTTCGTGAGAAATCTGCCTTGGAAGATCATGGTGATGCCCCGCTTTTACCCAGACAGACCTCACCAGAAGAGCGTTGGATTCTTCCTTCAGTGCAATGCTGAGTCAGACTCTACGTAAGCAATCACTGCCATTACATTTTCTAGTTTAGAGATTTCAGTGATGACCTTGAATTAATGGACTCCTTTTCTTTGTGTTAATACACTTTGGCTTTTTTAACATATTTAGCATATTTAGGAGGGGGGGGGTGTATTTCTACCTCCCTTTAAGCAACCAAACCTAATTTGATCCTCATTTGTAGGTCCTGGTCATGTCATGCTCAGGCCATGCTCAAAATAATCAACTACAAAGACGATGAGAAATCCTTTAGCCGCCGCATTAGTCACCTGTTCTTCCACAAGGAAAACGACTGGGGCTTTTCCAACTTCATGTCATGGGGTGTAAGTTTACTTGTTTTGTATGAATGTCTCTGCTAAGCTGGTGTTATCGGAGGTGAACATAGCTAATTAGCTGATATTGGTTGATTTCAGGATGTGACTGATCCAGAGCGGGGCTTTGTGGAGGATGATAAGGTTACTTTTGAGGTCTATGTTCAAGCTGATGCGCCTCACGGTGTGGCGTAAGTCATTTCTTATATTTTACTTATGTTTCAATGTTGCTGAGCTTTTGCAACAGTAGCTGACGTCACCATTTTACTTGCAGCTGGGATTCAAAGAAACACACTGGTTACGTGGGGTTGAAGAATCAAGGAGCCACGTGTTACATGAACAGCTTATTACAGACTCTCTTCTTCACAAACCAGCTTCGGCGGGTGAGACATCTGCCTTTCATTTTCAGAATCAGAAGATTTTTTAAATTATTCCTACAGAATGCACTTTGTACCAATAAGTACAATAAGTGCACATTTGCTTTGGCTGTTCTCAAGTAAATGACTATTAAAAATACAATTCCTACTTTGCAAATTGATTTTCCTTAGCCTGTTGTAATTCCAATGAAATATAACCTACTTTACAACTGCATCCCTTACCTAACCAAAGTGGATGCATTACTGCAGATGCAGTGTGCATTCAGGTGCAGCCAAGTGTGGCAATATTTAGTATTATTGATAATATTTGGTTCTTATTAGAGTCATACATCTCTCTGGATGGGGATACACTATGGTGGAAAGAAAATATGAAGAAAAGTATACCTTGCTTATCATAGCTGGTGTCAGTGTGTCCCTGTGCTGGCAGAGCACATTTTCTCCACAGCAAGCCCTGTTATTAACAGGGTAAAACTTTCACCACTTTCTTTGAATAAGAACATAAAACAATAAAATCATGGCAGTTTTTATACACTACCAGGGCTCGCAAAATCGCTAGCCCCGACGTCCCGGGGCTATTGTTTTTTCCAGTCGGGCTACCAAAATGTATCACCGCCCTGCCCGATGGGCTATCTTGATTGAATCGTGATATGAAATTCCTAACTTGATTCGCGTTCACTCGCTTGTAGGGGTGAAATGGATCGTAGTTGATCGTTTGCACTTGTTTCTAAGTTAGGCCTGGGCGATAAAACTGTATCGATATTTATCGACGGTACACCTTCTTCGATATCGAAAAAATGTTAGATATAGCGCACAATGTAGGCACGTGCTATGAGTGACGCAGACCGCACACACAAACACGAACATGCTGAAATGAGTGCTGTGCCTGCCTGTGATGAGGAGATTGTGAATAAAGAATGAATATTAGTCGAATTTAAAATAAACATTTGCATTTGAATGTTAGGTGTTAGGATTGCCGCGATAGACGGTGATACGCAACAACGGTTATGTCACTTGCCCACCGCGGCACCGACCCCCACCGTCGTTTTGATTTTTTATAGTAATAAAAAATCATTTAGTTCATTAAAAGAACAGACACTACAATTAAAAACTGAACGCGGCTGCTCAATGCCGTGTGCCGAACGACAGTCGCATCACAGATCAGATTTAATTTATCCAGTGAGGAGAGTAAGTCGAGCTGACTGACAAGAAGAGTGGGGTGAGACAGACAAGATGATGGCGGATGATTTAGTTTCAAAACTAGATGCAAAAGCGCCTGTTTAACAATATTTTGGATTTTGAAAAGCCTGTTGACTTTTGCCATTTATCTAAGGTGATTTTGGAAGTTTTTTTAAACATTTGCTTATTTAATTGGTTCTACATTTGCTGATTTTTACTTTATTTAAACTTTGTGTCATTTATTTATTTTATTTGACATCAAGGTGTATGCCGTGCCTCCAAGCTTTCTTACTCGTTTTGCTAATAAACATTCTACTTTCTTATTTATTTGGTTATATATTATACATGTTTACTTATTTCCAGTTTTGTATACCTGTTTAAACTTTATGTAAGTTATTTTTGTTGTTGCATTCAAGCAATTGACGCTGAATTGCCGCTAATTTCAAAGTGAAAGTAACATGCGCATGGCGCTTCTAAGCTATTTAAAAGCGAAGGAAAGCGAGGATAAGAGGGTAAATTCAAACGAACTAAAAACGAACAATTTCTTTACTCTGAATTGCTGCTATTTGAAAGTGAAAGTAAAATGCGCACGCTGCTTTTACAAGCTATTTAAAAGCGGAGGAAAAGAGGGAACGCCCCCGCGGTGATACCAGTATTACCGGTGTTGTCACACATCGATTAACCGGTGGGAACATTTCCTCACCGTCACAACCCTATTAGGTGTGCATCAGGGAGCGTCATCAGTGGCGTGCGAGATGCGGTGATGTTGTAAGTGACGTTGTTGCATTTTAATATTTTGTTAGTCTAGCCCACGAGATGCGCCGCTGCTGCGTTATTCATTCAAAATATTAGAGAAATATAGAAGCTCAATGCGGAGAAGATCTTGAATGGGTTAAAACCGAAACCAAACCATTCTCACAGAACGCATATTCAGCGCGTTTTTAGACGAACAAATATGACTGGTGCACTCGCATCTCACACAAGAGATGTATAGAAAGCCATGCAAAGTTAAAACAGTTTAAGCTTTTAGAAAACACGTCACGAATTTGTGGAGGTTTATTCCTTTTCACTGCGTCTCTTATGTTTTTAAATGCAGTCTGTGTGAATGGCACTTCGGCTCTTTGAATTAAGCAATGCATAAATACATGATGCTGTTTTGTTCATAATTGTTTATGCAATTTACAAAATTATATTT